GTCAAGCTCCAAACACTCCGGTGGACGACCTGCTGTTGTTGGTAAACTCTGTTCGGGAAAATGACAGTGATGCCCTATTTGTAGAGTTGCAGCTTAGGCTGTTAGCAATTTGGAGGATTTGTTTGTTTAGCGGGGACTATTTTCATTTGTTGTTCGTAGAACATACAGCGGAGCAGCTTTTCCGAAATTGCTCAAAATAGTTTCGTCTTTCTGCCGCCAGCAGAAGCAGCTACCACTTCTTCAATTAAAATGTAATTCCCCAACATGGTCAGCAGGGGGTATCACTGCATCCATTTTCACCACCGCTTATCCTGAACAGGGTCACGGAGAGCTGCTGAGGCCTATTCCAGCTGACTTTGGGGAGAAGGCAGACTACACCCTGGTCATTGCAGCTACAAAAACGGACAACGGAGCCAAACTGTCTCCAATAGTTTAAACTCTTCTGTCATTCGAAGAGATTATGGAGTGCGTGCTCACAAGCTCCCATTTCCTCGAGAGGCATTTCACAGGGTTGAGGTCTGTGCTCCGGGTCGGACCTCCGGTACTGAAAAAGCTACTTTTGAACTTAACGTTTCTTTGCATTCACTCTTTGGGTAATCTGGTTGCGAAATATTTGAGAGATGTTGAGTCCCACCCAACATTTGAACATCAAGGTCATCGTTTATTGTCCATTCGGTAAACGTTTTGTGATGGGATGAGGTTACAATACACAGCCTATCGCTGTTGTTAGGGCGTATGTGTGTCGTACTGAGAAAGAGAAAGAGAGAGACAGTGGGCGGTTGTGTGGGTGGGTGTGTCGAGGGGGGTTCAGTTGCCATGGCGACGGAAGAGCGTGTGCATGTGTGTGCGTGTGTGTGCACTTTAAGCTGCCGAATGGTAACATCCTCCCGGGAGGACAGTGGATTCAAGCATTGTAATTGGCCCACGTCCTTCTCTAAGGAGCATAACAAATAACATAAAGCCCCAAAAGGTTGCTGTGGCCTCACGTTGAGGTCATAAATGTTGTTTGTTGTTGTGATACGGCATGCTTTCTTGCACTCTACTCCAATATGTGTGGGGAGAGAAAAAAAAAAAAGCATCGAAATCAAATGTGGAGGCTGAGTGCAAAGTCAGCAGCGGCGAGTAGCAACGAGCAAATTTATGTGAGGGTTTACCAGGAGTTTTTGGATGGCTTGCACTTGTCAAAGAAGTTTGAACGCAATGTAGTTTGGCTTCACTAAGAAATACTATTTTCACTCAGATGCATTAAGCTACATTCTGCTCACTAGTTGGACTTTTGAGATTTGTCATTGCTTTTTTTTTTCCCCACAATTGTTCCACCAATTCAACACGACACAGACTGGCGACAGCCAGTAAAAGGCATAGCATCAACTCATGTCCACGTAGGTTTGAGCCCAATGCGTATGCCGCACATATATCGGGAGCTCTCCAGACGGAATCAAAGTTGAAAGAAAACAAAGCGCCTGTAAAGCTCTCAAACGTGAATTATGCATAGGGTGGTCAGTCAATGGCTGAAAAATAAATAGCGCACCCTCGGGCCTAACACGGACGCTTCACAATGAGCCCACATGAGACAAAAAGAGATTTGAGAAGAAAATACACCTTTGGGAACCAGTATCTTGTCCTCACAAACAAATAAATAAAAATCAAGACAGATCCGTACATGCAGAAACGTTTTTTTCTGTTTTAATCTGAAAAAAAATGGCGTGCATACAATCTATTTTCATTTTTCGTCATGACGCATTGGGACCAAGCCGGACAGCGACCATGTCAGACGAACATGTGTGAAAGTAGGGCTGGCATCTATATTTTCATGCATTCCTACTCAGGTTTTCCTGCTCGTCGTGGAACTTTTCATGGAAGCAAACATCACGCTGCCCATTGATTTTCCTCCACTGGACATGTCAATAAGTGCACGGCAAATAGCTTTGACCCCTCGCTCACGTCCGTCGAACCATCCAATGAGCAGCTCCATCCTGACAGGGTTTGTTGTGCCGCCTCTACCCTTGACCCGTTTGATTCATAAACACTGTTGATGACGTCACGGGGGCCACACGGTTGACAGCAAATTAGCGCTCAGACAATCTGAATTGCCATGGCCCAGCACAGAGCCCTGAAGCACATTCGGTCAAAATCTGATTTCGATTGGTTGTTTGATAAACACGACATACGTGTCTAAAGTTCTCCTCGTATATTTTTCACTCCCAGGAGTGGAATAGCCAAGTGCCTAAATAATTTTTTTGTCCGTCGTGTGTCGCAGAATTGCTCTCTCTTTTGACCAACGCACGAAACTGTACACAAAATCGGGCATATGTGGACAACTGTAGTCGTTTGCTCTCCTTAATCATTTTTCCCCAAGGTTGACGATTAAGCATCCACAGTGAGCGATCCGAGCACATTATTTCAAAAGCACGACGCCACAGTGGAAATAAATTAGCCTGCCATGTCTGTTGGAGCGTGGAGATTGCTTTTCTCTCCTGACTCTTTCCCACCTGCGATGGTTTCCATCACGAATAGCGCCACAAACTCAATCGCCCGTCTTCTGATTGTCGCCCGGATAAAGTTTAGCCAGCCAGCCTGTTGGTAAAGAGCCATCAAAGGGGCCAATTCTGTATCGGCCGTCTTCATTTGAGTCATGAGTAACTGGAGCCTATCGCGGCTAACTTCTGGTGAGAGGCGGGCTCATTTTGATCTTCACTTTGCCTAAAATGTGTATTTTAGAAGGTGCAGTTTCCACTCTCTTGTCAAACACTTTCATACCAGTTTTTAGCATTGACGCAGCTTAAAAAAAAAAAAAACTCCTCTTTTCCACCACTTCATTACACCACAGCCATTAGGTGGGACTCTCCATCGCCATTAGCATGCTTTGTTAGGCAAAGTAAAAGACCCGCTCCGACCACGTGAGGCTTCTTTGGGAAGAAATGAGTCACCGAGACATTTGGAAAGCACTGAAGTGTGGTTATGAACCTCTCAGATGCACATTTTGCTCCCCCATAAATAATCATCCCACCCGGTAATGAAGGTGCAACCTGCCACTCGCTTGAACAGATGTAAATCGATGATGAAGACATGTTGGAGAAACGCGCCCTGCGTGATGACGTGTGCGCCGAAGCGAGGGGAAAATGTTCACCTTTATAGAGTCACGGAGGATCGCTTTCAAGGTCCGCTATTCATCTTGTGGTGTTCTGTACCACTCTGCTTGGGAACTAACATCGGTAAGCTGTGAAAGATTCACTTTTCGTCAGGGTGTGTAACTGCAACGTATCGCGGCTTCAAACCAAACCCAGTATGAGTATCATGGTAAAGGAAAGGTTGTTGCAGCTGTCATGTTGGGTCTTAATGCGATTGCGCAAGTGTCCCTAATGGAGTGGAGAGGAGATTTGCATCAAATCTCCACTAACTTGTGCCATGTATGTCCTATTTGGGGCCGCTAGCCGGGAATAATGCAATCAACCTGGCAACCCGAGCTGATAAAACAAACCAGTACGACCACCACCCTCCTCTTCATCCTGCCCCGGGGTGAATATCCAGAGAACCGCTGCCATTGTTAAGCACGAGGCTCGTTTGAAGTCTGCTCATATATTCACGAGGGGGTAAAAAAAAAAAAAAAAAAAAAACATGAATGATACGCATCAAAGTTCCAGGAAAGGGGTGGGAGGGGGAGGGAGGCGGGGACAGGGGACTTGGGTAGACTGCAGCCTGGTTACACATTTTGCAATCTGGAGACCTTTCTCACTCCATGCCCAGGGGCGGAATGAAACATTCATTCGATCTTCAAGCATCCAAAAAACAACAAAAAGAATATTGTGCCCCCCCCCCACCCAAAAAAAGAAAAATATAGCTTCTTCACCCGAGCGGTCAGATCTTAACAAATAACTGCCAGAAGTGCTTCTAATTAACCTCCAATGCGAATAAATAACCATCTATAAAAAGAAGCCAAATAAAAACTAATTTGGCTCTAAATGCGTCACGCTGTTTTCTTTTATAGCGCACTATTTATCTGATCATCCACTTTGCTGGTTTCTAAGTACGATTTTCCTGCTGCTCGCTCCATATTGGGCATCGTCTGTCCTTATTGTGGACAATCATGGATGCGCTGCCTAACGGATGCAGAAGAACAATCAGGATTGATTATGGAAAAGCTGCTCGAGCATTTTTCGACAACACATCCACTCTTTCTTCACTAGTCTGACAATTCATTCCTGCCAAAGTTGAATGGCAAAGTTATCCTATACGAGCAAGGACAAAGGGCTACAAGTACATGGACATTAACGTGTATGTATATCAAAGATAATGATTAAATTATGAACACGATTTGCATGTTTGGCTAAAATAGTAACTAAAACATTTATGGCAACACACTTTAGTTAGCGCAATAAAGCAAGCAAGTTGCTTGCTCCAATACAATTTGCTGAGTTGTTTGTACTTATACAGCACCTTTAAGTTAGGGGATGACACATGGGACAATTAGTTTTGTCAACTTTTATTCCTTTGTTGAAGATGTAGGAAAGACAGTTCTCATATTAGCAAACCTTCGTCTTGTTTTTTATTGGCCAAATTGTTGCCTTGATATTTTAAGTTGACTTTTTTTTTTTACAGTATACATGGACCTTAAGGTGGATATCAAGGACATCAAAGCCATTTGAGCATTTATTTGCCATCCGGCAAGTGTTGAGTGAGTAATTCAAACGTGGCACGAGTGTGTGTGTGTGTGGGGGGGGGGGGTCACTATAAACAGTGACCCCCATTAATCGACAGGAGGTTACTATAGTCCAAGGACCTTGAAGTGGAAATGAAGGATATCAAATAAATGCTCAATCAGCTTTATTGTAATCAGTTCGTCACAACATCTATTTTTGAACACGATAAGGACTCAAGTATACAAACGTGCACAAAACCAGTGAGTACAATCATATGGCAAGCAGTTTTTGCCATGATTCAGAGCCACCAAATAGGGTCGGGAGGGTATTTCGCTTGACTAGTATTGGATTGGAACTTACTTTGACTGTCGAATTTCCTGATGATTGTGTCCAGGAAGGTGTTCTGCGGAGCCACATGGCCTCTCCGAACCGGCATCTTCGATGCAGTGGCCCCAGGACTTTATCGGGACTTTGCTGGACTTTGAAAAACTCAACTACTCCCAAGGAGACCCTGACTGCTCGGTCCAGTCGGGGATGCAAGTTGCCCCGAGTTTTTTTTTTCCCTCCCCCACCCCAGTTAATGAAAGTTGCGTCCTTCCGACAACGCGCAGTTGATGTGAGGCGTTCACTGCCTCCCGTTTGCGAGATGGGGAGAGCGACGGTTTCTGTTTCCGTCCCCTCTTTGGTGGTGTTGGTTGTGATGGAGAGGGAGGAGGGCGCTTGTCAGGTGATATATCCTCCTCTCAGTGGAGCTCCGCCACAATCCTCCTCTCATGGCGCACGACGGCACGCTCCTGTGAGGCGGACTGGAGGCGCTTGGCTGAGAGCGTCGTGGTGTTTGCAGCCATGGAGGGCTGCTGCCTTTGTTTCGCTTCTCATTCCACTTCTTCTCAATCCGGGCAAATAGCTAGAAAAGAAGACAACGTCCACCTTGATGAGTATTTTGGAGGTGCTTTGCGTCGCTCTAATTCGCCTCCTCCTCTTGCGCTTCCTCCTCCGCTGTGCGCTTTTTTCTGGATGACTTCAGCTCCACCGATTCGAGCTGCGCCTCTTTAACCCTTTATGCCTCGACCACATCCGTTGAGTTGAATGTTTAGAGAAGCCCCAACCATCTCTAATTTATACAAATAAACAAACATACTTTACGGCTTATATGTTACAAATTTGGAGGACATATTCTGTCCCAACGATATGAAATCTCAAATAATCAAGATACAACGCCCCAGAAATATGCACTTGAGTAAATTGTCCTGAGACAAAATTTTACAGTTGGTAGAAGTGATTCCTGGTCATTTAAGGCCCAAAATAGCTGGTGAGCACCCCATAAAATGGCTTTTTCTCTTCTCCTAGCCCGCTGCTTGATGACCCATTCAAATATCAAATACAGCCAATATATAGCCTACAATGCTTTTAAATCGGCTTATTTGTATTCTTTTGTTCATATGGCTTTCCTATAATTGTTTAAAAAAAAAAAACAATTTCGTTTTCCCAGACATATTTCAAATAGTACGAAGTACTAATATGTGGTGTCTCTCGACATACAAGCTGCTCTGCTCCTAAAACTATCCATCTACAACCGGATGAAACCGATTACAAAATGATTTATCACCTGTGTTTTTTTCCTTTGAAAACAAAACAAGGATATCACGAAAATAATTAGAAAATAAACGGCCCGTTTTGAAAAATACGAGTACTCAAATTATCATCTATCTTCTGGAATGACCCACAAAGGAAATACACCTCAGTCCTGCTGTGGCGAAAATTCTCATCACAAGAAATGGCACCCAAAGGCCCGACCGATTTTAAGCATTTATAAGGCAGTCGGTGTCAAATGGGGGAGCTTCCATTGTGTTCCACCGCAGGTCAAACCTACAGACAACACGCGTAAAACGTCTGGAGTGACAGCTGGATTCGGGTTTAATTAACACTCAAACGTGGATGAGGAAGAATACTCTCATGCAAAAACAAAAGCGGTGTTTCAGGTTATTACTGACCCATTTTAATTGGCGTGAATTACGCTGGGGTTGAGGATTCACCACCGAGGCGTTCATGTACGTCACAGCGCGGGGTTCCCCCTCACGTCAGGCTGCGTTCATGGACTGTCGGATAATAAGATACCGAATCTGTCACGTGACTGAAGCAAACGCGATAGGACACAGCTGTCAGACGTATTCGCGTTCATTAATCAAGGAGCAATAGAGACATTATAGTTTCAGTATTGACGTCTTCGGCTTTTTACTCAAGTAAAAGTAATGCTTGCAAAGACACCAATTAAAATTTCACACGGTTAACTTCCAAGTAGTGTGTTGAATAAAGCAGGAATATAATCACAGAAAACATTCGGCGAAAGCAGATATCAAGTCTCCATCCAACAAACTTTCAGCTTACCTCAATATGCATGTTCAAATTCGACGGCACGTTTTGGAAAGCCGTGGATTCGCAGAGTTTGCGGAGTAATCCAATATTTCCTCGCTGCTGGTGCTCAACTGGGACTTTTGGTTTTCTTCCTTGTCATTTTCAGGGCTGCGTTTGCTCTGTTCGAAATGTGAAGACTTGTCTTTAATTTTGCCACTTGATTTGTGGCTTGTGCAGGTGCGATGGATCGCGCACAAACCACTAAATTGTCCGAATGTCTCATCCAAACACATTCAAAACCACTCTGTACTGTGTGATTAATCTAGAGAGACCCTTTTTTTTTCCAAATTAAAGGAGTACGGCACATTTTGAAAAATTAAGGAGTAATAATAAAAAGTAGGGCTGAAAAAATAAACACAGGTAAAGTAAAAGACATTCAAAATCTCTACTAAAGCAAGGTAATAAAGTCTTTGTCCGACGCCAAGTGAGACCTTTGAGTCCACAACGACTGTCTGAAACATTGCGATTAAAAAAAAAAAAAAACCTACACGTGACACAAATACTCATGTTCAAGTGAACTTAATTTGACCTCTAAACTTTTGAATGCCTGTGTCCAACTGAAAATAAATAAATAAAACCTGTTGTGAATTTTGTCGTTTCGTTGATATAGAGAACAAGTTGTGCAAAATTGGATATTCATTCAAAAGTTGATACAGGTTCAAATTTGGTTGGTCATAGTTCATTTTAGAGTAATCTTGAATTACCTGTATAACCGATAACTATTTTCGGTGAGTAGTGAAAGGAAAACATTGATTGCAGTTGTTTATGCTGAAGTTGTTGTTTTCTCTCTTTGTGAGCAGCATGGTTTCATTTTATGTCTTTTAAATACCTGATTGTATCAAATCACGAATGCCAAATACCATGAAAATGATTTTTCTACTAGTACCATTTATTATTGACTGTTGATTGATGACATTAGGTTCAAATTGCTTGTATTGGTTCTCAATAGTGTTGTGTGAAAATGTGTGCCAGGGTAGTATTCGTGTTTCCCGACCGCAGCAGCAGAGGCGGCTCCCAGGTTCATTCTGAGGCTTTCTCCTTAAATCCATTCGAGCAGGATGTGTCACGCCCCCGACTGAGTATAAAACTGCCTTGTTTTCAGTTCCGTCATCTGTCGGCCCCCTCAAGCAACATCGCTACTCAGTGCACTGCATTGATCAAAATGACCTGCAATCACAAAGGCACTCATTTTTTTTGCACTGATCACTGTTTTAATGATTGGAAAGAGGTGATGGATTGCAGCCCCCGCGGTTGGATGAGGCCTGAGCAGTCATTTGTCAAAATGTGACATTTTAGTATGAATTAAAAATGCATCAGTTCCCCTCCTATTACACACTGGAGTATTCGCTACATTAGCTGAGAGTCAGAGGAGGCGGGTTGACCAGCCTTCCATCTTCAACACCCCTTATTTAGTCAGGACAAGCGAGCAGGGAGGAGGAGGAGGAAAGGATAGAGGGGTGAAGAGGTGAAAGAGGATGAAAAACAACAAAGACGTGGAAGATCTCTTGTTGTGGATCAGCTAAATTTCACTTTGGCTATGTATGATGATGACGCTAAAACACAGGCCAAAAGCGTGTGTGCAGTTTTCCAAGCATTGAATATCAGACATGCCTTTATTTCCCTTATCGTTGTTTATTTACATTGAAGCAGCCTACGAGAATAGTTGTACAGGGATGAAACAATGTCATGCTCTGGTGTGCTAACTGGACGTACCTTATCGCAGCTAAGCAGCCCTTTCCTGTTAAAACTTCAAACCCCCCACCCCCATTATGAAAATCATATCAATATCCTATTACATACATCCAAAAATGGCTACGCTCAAATTCTGTTGAGAAAGTTGTCTAAATCTGTCAAGATATAGCCTACCAACTCTACAATCCCTCCGAAAATGCAACATCTGTAGCACGATAAAACTGCACATTTTAGATGAAACTTTTAAAGTCACACTTTGTCTGATCAGCATCTTGATACGCCACTCCTGTGAGATGGATGCATGAACTCGGCAAAGAAGAAGTGCTCACGACCACACATTTTGACAAATTGAATAATACTTGGGAGGGAGGGCCATTTTGTGTCGGAGGAAAAAAAGTCTATAGATCTTTGAGTTCAGCTCAAGAAAAATGGGAACAAAAAACACAAAAGTGCAAGGACATGAACTGCTTTTTCCATTTCTGGCATGATCGTTTTCAACACATTTTTTCTTCTTTACCATATCCGGTAACCCTCTGTGGTGTAATGCGAAGTAGCGATTCATGTCGTTGATTTATTTTGCTTTGGATAGAAAAAAAAAAATAGATGCACAGTTGAAAAAATATGAAGCGCCCACATGTTCCGTGTGTACAAAGGTTTATTGAATCCGATAAATGTAATAATAAAAAAAAAATCACCACATGCTATACAAAGATTTGTAGTGAGCAAAACTGTCGTCTACTCGTCATTTAATGTAGAACGTTCCTATTTAGAGTCAACCAAAGTCCCTTTAATAATACATACAAAAATAGAGTTGGTAAAAAAAAACAATGTGCAAGGCAAAGATTAAACACGGGGACTGAATGTTTGGGATTCAAAGGACTGTTTTCGGTCATACAAAGTTGAATGACAAAAGCAAGACATTTTTATGCGGACAAAAAGAGGGTCCAAGCGGTTCATTCATCCATTGCCTCCAAACTGTTTGATTTGACCAAATAACTCTCTCCTCTTCATTGTACACCCGAATGTACGCGTGACCGAAATTCCTCGCCCATGTATGTGCTCATCGCCTGGACAGGTCACCCCCTGTGAATCAAGTTGAAACAATCGTGGAGCAGTGAGTAGCAGAAAGCGAGCAGGTCATTGACATTCCTTTGCGATGAATAATAGGCAACGTTTGCACAGCTTGGACGGTGAGTTCTTTGTCTAGAAATACTTTTAAAAGTCAGTAAAAATTGAGCAGGAATGTGGCAAAATGTTTTGGGGAGCGTAAGGAAGCATTTTTGTTTTTTTTTTACAGTCACAATTCAGATTGTTCACCTTTGTAGGCACTCCAGGTTTACTGTTGAAACACTGAACTGATGATATGAAAATTTTCTGCAGACGCATAAGCTATAATTTGCATCTAACACAAGTCGTGTATGTAAAAACTCTAAGTGGGGTTGGGGGGGGGGGGTGAAGCATCCGCATGCTTGAGGTTGCAATCATGAGAAGAGAGCACTCACACATATCAACTGATGGCAGCTGGTCTGTCTGCGTGTGTCAAAGATTGATTGCCATGGTGACCAAATCCGTCAGACGGCGTTGTCTATGGGATTGTAGCACTGAGAAGGGAATTTGAGCTCGGGGGATGCTCCGAGTTGTGCGGCGGCTACATCCAATTAGCTTACGCAATCGGAGTTGGGATCTGTGATTGAATTATTGATGGGGGAGGCAGGGGGAGGGGGGCGCTCAGGCTAACATACATTCCAGGATGGCTGTGTGAAAGTGTCATTGTAAATGCGCATCTCCATGTCTTTAATCTTATAGGATATTTTGGACATTCCACTTTGGAAAACGCTTTCAAAAAAACTCTCTGGCAGTATCAGTGGCCAAATGCAGACAACAATCTTTTGATTGCAAAACTGTGTATGGCCCTCACCCATTTCTGTCATAAACATCTTACTTTGGTGCCATCTTGTGCCAAAGGAACTATCTTACAGTCAGTTGAGGAGTTTCATTGCATTTACACGTCGCGGCATCTGTCAGCAACTGTCCGTCTCGAATGCTTTCAAGTTTCTTCACATGCACTGTTGTAATGAGTGTCGCATGCAATGATTTTTCCGTCTCCCTCAATGCTTGCACCACATTACAATAGGAGACGGACATTCAAATCACTTTGGTCGCGTTCGCTTTCCCTCACCTTGGCAGCTGGTGCACTCGCAGCTGTGAATGACAGGCAGGACGACCGGCTCGCTGTCGCCACTGTCGCACCGCAAGTTGAGGAAGCGCACGGGGTTGTCCGGGTCCAAACGGTAACTGCAGCACTCACACACAGACCTGAGGTAGGGCTCCTGTGTCGAGATTAGAGAGGACGCTTAATGAGCAGATCAAATCGACGCACGGGCGGGTCGGTCAATAATTTGTAAGAACACCACCAATCTCCCTTCCACGTGATCTGACCAATAGTATTGATTTGTGACAACTTGTGCGTTGCCTCGAAAGAATTGCTTCTATGCCGTTGCAATTTTTCAAATATGTGTGGCAGTTGCAGTCGTTCTCACGACCGCACGGATGACTTTTCGCAGCATACCGTTTCTTCACTGGTTACCATGCCCCGTTGCCACAGTAACAGTAGGTAATGACACATTTGGCTCAGCTGATGTTTATTTTTACAAATCTTTCAGCATGACTGGCTCTATTTTTAAAGTCGGAGATGTATGGATGCCAACAGAGAACAAAGTCGCCATGGTGATGCGCTGCGGTCTCTGCTGTCTTGCGAGGCGAATGAATATGAAAAAAAAAAACAACAAAACCTAAAAATAAAAAGGACGTTCAAAAGAGGCAGACAGAAGCTTTAACGAGCTCAACACGTGACCTCCAACATTCTCCTTCACGTGCGCGAATCAACATGTCTATATTTAGCTCAACAGCTAAACGGTGCATGTGCCCAAACAGAGTACGTCTCTTCGCACAAATGATCATTTGGAGTTAGACACAGAAGAGCCTATTTGCTGATCACTGCAACCCACACGACAGTCTGCCGTGGTCGGAAAATACTGTTAATAACAGCTGAGAGTTGCAGTGAAAGGCCTCGAGCTTGAAAAATTAGGAAGTCAAGGTACTGCCGTAACTTCAATATGACCTCCAAATTTGAGAGTGATCATAAACGGCTTCGTAGCGCACATTCAGGATATCGCTCACACCATAATGAAGCCGTATGCCGCCGTGCGGGGAAAATAAACGGCCCGAGGATGCAAGGGGAGCTCGAACCAGCAACGTTACGAGACAATAACTGAACCGAGCTGGCCCCGGGCCAGCCTGCTTATGAGACGGACTGTCTATAATCAACACGCATGACTGTGTGTGTGTCCCGAGCTTCTCCATACCTCCAAGATGACATCCGTCCTGGACAGACAGCGCCCCTCGCAGAAGCTGACCTCGATATTGTCAAGCCGACAGTTCCCCTTTGTGATGTTCTTGACCTGCACGTAGCGACGGCACTCCGGCGCGGTCTCGTCTGACGCGTCCAAGCAGAAGGAAAGGAGGCACATGAGGGGCGAACATAAAAACGGAGGCAAGTTAAAAGAGCAAGGAGGAAATAATTGAGACTATCTGCTTCGATTTGCATAAAAGGAAAAAAAAAAAGAGGAGGACAAAGCCAGAGGAAAGTAGAGCCTGACTCTATCCTGGGGAACAAAGTGACACTGCTTCACACTTAGCATGTGAAGCAAAGAGATTTCAGGCCAAGTGGAGGTTGTGCAACCCTTCCTAATTGGCCACTGCGGCACAATTTAAAGAACCACAAAGGATTCTCCAGAATAGTCCGCTTCATATATTCCCCGGGTTGCATTTTCTGCACATTTCTCATTTACCTGGAAAAGGCTTCCTGCAGACTGGACAACAGCTGCCCGGTTCCTCGACTTTGACTTCCCCCTGAGCGAGAGGATGCAGTCCGTTTCAGAATCAAGCAGTATCAACAACGATCATGAGATTCAACCATGAATTCATCCGATTTCAATGTCAGATCTGAATGCAGGCAAGAGTGTTAGCTTTGTGCCAACATGCCATTTGCAAGTGCAGAACCGTCACCAGTGCGAGGAAATACCCACAAAGTTGACCGGAACACAGATTTTGGAGTTTCAGTCAATGTTTACGCATTACGCTACTTTTGCTATTTCACTGACCATTAGATTTTCCTTTCTTTAATGGAAGGATATGAACAATTTTGCCTCTGTGCTAAGATGGAGGCGTTGAAGCCGCCAAGGAGGCGAGATTTGGTCCAAAGAAAGAGCCGCCTCGAGAATGCACAGCAACTCAAAGTCTGACAGCGGACTCGCGACCCCTGCTGAAGCCGAACCTTGAAACTTCAGCCTTGTGCATCAAACATCAACACAGCTGACTGTTCACCCCGAGGACATTCCCTCCCACTCAGCAGCGACCACCATTCTTCCCTCAGGGATGGCAGGAACCGACTCACTAAGAGGGTGGGAGTGCATGAGCGGAATGACTTGAAGAGCTTTAAGATGGCAGATGGGATGCATGTGTGATGTGTGAAGTGTTTTTATTAAATGGAGACGAGGGGCTTGAGAATACTGGTTCAAGAAAAAAAAAAAAAACAGCCGCAGACCTGTGTGCACCACATGTGGAACGCGCAATAGACTGCCTACCTTCGAAGCTCACCGTGCAATCAGCTCACCTTCAAAGTTTGACCTGTCAGCAGATTTTATTTTTACCCCGGCCTTCATAAAGCTGCCGGTGAGCTCAAGACGAACGTCGAGCAAAAATCGAGTGTGTGAAGCAAGAGAAAGAACAGAAATTGTTCTTCATTGGGTGTGTTTATTTGCATAGGAATTTTGATCACTAAATAAAGTTCCAATTCATCAAGTATGAACTTAATCGGACAATTATTTTGGGAAATCTTGCACTCAACAAATACTCCATATATTTATTTTAAAAAAAAAAACTAAAACTAACACTAAAACGAAAAAAAAAACCCTAAAATGTTGAAAATGAAACAAAACCTTGAAAAATCTAAAAATCTATTATATCCCTCGACTGAAGTCAAAGATTTACAGGAAGCATTAGGTAGAGCAAAGCCCAGAGCGCACGCTTGTGGGTGGATCGGGCAATCACATATTGATCCGTTCCAGCCAGTGACTTTTAGAGAACATATCCGACATTCTTTGGGGAGCCAAGAATGTGCATTTAAAACGAAATGACACATTTGTGACCACCTGAGACATTGTGCGAACTGGACCACCCCAGGGGAGCGTTCAGCAGATGGGCAGGCCTGCCATGCTGCTCTGGGAAAAATCTATTTGTCTACTTGTGTGTGCAAACAGCAACAGCAGGGGGGTGGAAAAAAGTATTTTGGAACAAGTAAGGGACAAGATTTTAACTGTGTTCCCCAGAAACCATTAAAAAAATAATAAATTATGTTTTCATTTGCATTTCCCCACATATGGGAATATTCGGCTGTTTCCTCAAGCATTTTTTATAGATAATAAGCGAGCACATCCACAGCGCGGGCAATGACTCAACTGTGTAATAAAGACTACGATTGAGATAAATGATTCATGGGGGCAAAAAATTGGGGAAAAAAAAGGGAGGAGTCATCATTTCTAAAAAAGCAAAATTGAATCTAAATAAGATTCCGCTGTAGTTTGTCTTACGATGATTGGATCGATATCTGAGAAATTGACGCACAGGGAGGTCTCCGTGCTAAACAAGTTTGATCGGCCACTACTGCACGGTGCACATGTGGGCTTTGTATTTGGAACCCGGGGCCTTTAACTAACCTCCGAAAACCACAACTGTCACATTGCAAATAAAGAACAGTTGTGTGGATCCCATTGACGCAGCAGCACAAATTGGTTGTGTATTCTGCAGATGCAATATGTGAAAGAGGGAGCAAAACGTATGTGGAGAGACTTTCCGTCGAGTTCAACTGTTGTCAATTGTTGGCGTGGAAGAGTAAACTTTTGACTACAGAGATATATCTTTGCCTTTAATCAGATATCCTTCCATGTTTGTGAAATCCACGACAAGCCCGTTTAGAGTCACGGGGCGAGGGTTGTCGAGTAGCCAACCCGTATTTCTCACAAATGGGTGAAGGCTTGCCAAATGTATTTTTCACATTACTGTTTCGCTCAAAAGAAGCAAGGACAAGCAGATTTTCAAAGTCTTTATATTCTAAATGGAAATGTACAAAACGGGAAATCAAATTACTGAGAAGAGGAGGGTGGGGGGGCAAAGCAAGATGCTGAGTCATGGTGTATTTTGCGTGATGGCAGTATGGGAACCGAGAGGGCCTATAGTGTGTCTGCAGCCTACGGGCCAGCTAACACAGTGAAAGATGAAGGTCTGCCTGGGTTATCAAACAACCGCCATTATGACTTGTCCTCCAGGTACACTACAGTAAATAATTTTGCATAAAGCAGTATTGCTGTCCGATGCAGATAAATGCACTAAAAGGTCCATTTTAAAAAGATGAGAACTTTATGCTGTTCTTAACAGGGGGGGAAAAAAAAAAGCCAGTCTTTACTTTTTTTTTTTCCTGTGGTGTACCTTTATACGGCACAGTAATTCAGTTGTGGCCGGCGCTTACAACAACCACGCAGTCAAGCTAATTTGGATCTAATTTGAGAATAATAGCGACGCTCGTGTTCAGAAGTTGATTAAATGCCAGCGAGCGTGTCTCACCTCATCACAGTGGAGTTCAGGGCACTTTGGCTTGCACAGTTTCTTCCCGTTCACGCAACGACATGACAGGCAGTCCTCCTCCCACTCTGATCCTGCCTGGCTCACACACACAGAAACAAATATTCGCCATTTACATTTTGACTCAAATTTCTGTCCCCGGTCACTGAATTTTTGATGAAGTGCGGCTGGCTCGGATAGCTCAAGATCAATGAATGACATTGCGACATGTAGTGCGTCGCCCTCACTGTTGTTAAAAAAAAAAAAAAAAGGGAGCTTGCAGAGCCACGTTTTGACAACGTAATTATAAGAGCATGTACGGAAACGCGTTAGATAGAATGCACGGGCCAGCGCATTTCTGTATGTTGGCAACAGCAATCAGGGAGACTTCTTCGGTTCGGCAGATGGAAAGCACACTCCACGGGGTGATTTCGCAGCTCACACTCGGCGGCCATTTGGCATAACAGCCGTGAGGCGGTTGATTAGAAAAGCCGTTGAGGGTCTTTAGAGCGACATTCGTCATCGCATGCTGACAAGTAAGAGGAAGCGAGGAAAGCCGGCAAAGAAAGAATAAAAAAAAAAAAAAAACGTCATTGAGAGAGATATCAAGAAAAGGGGATCTGACCTCTTGTCAGCGTATGATTAATTCTCATCATCCTATAATATCCCTTTCTTCATAAATTATTCCTGGACGGCTTGCCCAGTTGCGGTCAGAGTGCTGGCTTTATACAGCACGGCATGCATAATTGATGGCGCTTTGAGCAGGAGAGGCACCGTGGTGTAATACGGGCCCCGGGGCATGTCACTCATCTTCTCATCGGCCCTTTATGAGTAAATAACACATGCTGTTCTTAACAGTGGGGGAATAAAACAAGCCAGTCTTTACTTTTTTTTTTTCCTGTGGTGTACCTTTATACGGCACAGTAATTCAGTTGTGGCCGGCGCTTACAACAACCACGCAGTCAAGCTAATTTGGGTCTAATTTGAGAATAATAGCGACGCTCGTGTTCAGAAGTTGATTAAATGCCAGCGAGCGTGTCTCACCTCATCACAGTGGAGTTCAGGGCACTTCGGCTTGCACAGTTTCTTCCCGTTCACGCAACGACATGACAGGCAGTCCTCCTCCCACTCTGATCCTGCCTGGCTCACATACACAGAAACAAATATTCGCCATTTACATTTTTACTCAAATTTCTGTCCCCGGTCACTGAATTTTTGATGAAGTGCGGCTGGCTCGGATAGCTCAAGATCAATGAATGACATTGCGACATGTAGTGCATTGCCCTCACTGTTGTTAAAAAAAAAAAAATGGGAGCTTGCAGAGCCACGTTTTGACAACGTAATTATAAGAGCATGTACGGAAACGCGTTAGATAGAATGCACGGGCCAGCGCATTTCTGTATGTTGGCAACAGCAATCAGGGAGACTTCTTCGGTTCGGCAGATGGAAAGCACACTCCACGGGGTGATTTCGCAGCTCACACTCGGCGGCCATTTGGCATAACAGCCGTGAGGCGGTTGATTAGAAAAGCCGTTGAGGGTCTTTAGAGCGACATTCGTCATTGCATGCTGACAAGTAAGAGGAAGCGAGGAAAGCCGGCAAAGAAAGAATAAAAAAAAAAAAACGTCATTGAGAGAGATATCAAGAAAAGGGGATCTGACCTCTTGTCAGCGTATGATTAATTCTCATCATCCTATAATATCCCTTTCTTCATAAATTATTCCTGGACGGCTTGCCCAGTTGCAGTCAGAGTGCTGGCTTTCTACAGCACGGCATGCATAATTGATGGCGCTTTGAGCAGGAGAGGCATCGTGGTGTAATACGGGCCCCGGGGCATGTCACTCATCTTCTCATCGGCCCTTTATGAGTAAATAACACAATGGGAGTGAATAAGAGAGAGATAGAGAGCGCGTGAAGGGGAAAGTATGATGAGGTTCAAAGGTAGGCCACAATGAGGCGGGCACAACGGTCGCAAGGTACGAGCTCGGCCACGGGTCTGCTTACGGTGTGAGCCGGCACGGACGCGTGTGCGTGTTTACCTCCCGCACGATGCCCTGGTCATGGCAGGGGCAGAGAGCAGGAATGACGCACACGCCATCGGTGTTTCGGTAAAGCCCCTCCTGACACACGCAGCCTTCTGACGAGTGACTGCAGTTGATGGGAGTCGGGGAGTAAATGTCCTCGCAGCTCCTTTCGCAGAGTGGAAAGTCTTCTGACAAGCTCCTCCGCCGCTTCCATCGCTCTCCGGCAGGACACGCTGCAGAGGGGGAAGAGTCAGTTAGTGATGAACGGGGTGTCGGGGAAAAGGAAATGAGAAAGGGAAGATAAAACCAGAAGATGACAGGACGGATAAGAGGAAAAGGGAAATAGAAATAGATCAGTTAAGGAAGGCAAGTCGGGATATCTAAAATGTGGAATTGCCTTGAGGATTGATGGAAGCGCTTGGCGATGAGTGGAAACAGCGTACGTTTGTCTTTTTATACAATACAGTCATACCTTGTCCGGGTATAGTTCGTCCCCTGACCAATCGAAATACCATGAATCTATTTCCGCCCCCCCCCAAAAAAAAGCACCAGCATTTTGTTGACGTGATTTTGAACTTTCAGGTTCCAAACCTAACCCTAACCCTCAGTCCGAATATCATTGTCTAAAAGTAACCCAGATGGGTCGCCCTCTTACTCACCACAATCTGGGGCCACGCAAGGAGCAGTGCGGTGGTCGGAGCCCTCACACGGGACCCCTCCATACTGGTTCGGCCCTACCACAGTTCTGGTGGAGCTCTGTTGTCCTGTACCACAGCTAGCTGAGCATGGACCCCATTGGGACCAGTTGGACCACTCACAGTCCACTAAGAGGGTGAGAAGAAAGGTTGTGTGAAGACAGTGCAATCATGCTGCAGTTTTTCACAAAAATGCGAATCAGTCATTCACTGTTGTTTCATCCGCTCCACTCAGCAATAACCCTTTAATATTACATTGACCGTACATGTTTATTAGCATAGTGTAGGCTATGAATATAGTTATATTTGACGAATATATTTTGTTTTATTTAATTTTTTGATTTCACCTGTACCATCTGTCCTAGTTAAAAAGCAGCTTGCCCAGGCCCTGCCGCGGAGGCTGAATTAAAATGACCGCTACTCCCCCATGTCATTGGTCAACCAGTAGATTACGAACCCTTTGACAAACACATCGTACTCTTGACATTTGCCACTTGAAAGAAATGACACATTTTTGATTGCCCCCGGCGCTTTCGCTGCAATAAAGGCGAGATCCTACAAAGTGTCGTCGCCGCTTTTTGACATTAAAAGCTGAGGCAGAGCATCACTCACCGTCGCAGAGCTCGGAGGTGCAGTTAAACACTCCTCCGCGACACACACTGAGGACAATTGGGAGAATTTAGAGTCATGTCGAAGTCCTACAGGACATGCTTTTGAATAAAGGATGACTAAACAGTCATCACATAACACAGATGGGACATACAGTAAGTACAGTGGTATATTCAGTAAAAAGAGATGAAGAGATTGATAACAAGTACAAAAGCTCAGTTGATTTCCCCAAAATAACGGGTGTACCATGTGTTGCAGTGATACTGGACGGATGTTCCAGGCGACAGGACTTCTGTGCTCATATTCAATGTTTGGTAGGCAATCGGCAGAGAGAGCAGTGAACAGGGGCATTCTGCATGGGACACACACAAGCCTCCATGCAAGACCTGGTTTAGACGAGGAAAAAAACAAACCAAACAACATTGCACCTAGTATCACAATGCATGCAACTGAATGTGGAATGTCGAAGTCCTACAGGACATGCTTTTGAATAAAGGATGACTAAACAGTCATCACATAACACAGATAGGACATACAGTAAGTACAGTGGTGTATTCAGTAAAAAGAGATGGAGAGATTGAAAACAAGTTCAAAAGCTCAGTTGATTTCCCCAAAATAACGTGTGTACCATGTGTTGCAGTGATACTGGACGGATGTTCCAGGCGACAGGACTTCTGTGCTCATATTCAATGTTTGGTAGGCAATCGGCAGAGAGAGCAGTGAACAGGGGCATTCTGCATGGGACACACACAAGCCTCCATGCAAGACCTGGTTTAGACGAGGAAAAAAACAAACCAAACAACATTGCACCTAGTATCACAATGCATGCAACTGAATGTGGAATATCTGGATACTTTCACACAAAGACACATGAACAAGTATCCAGACCTGACCAGGTGGGCACGAGCACCCGGCGTTGCAAGGTCCTGCTAAACACTGAGTGTTGGGCCACAGGTCTTCACAAGTAAATGGACAGGAACCGGAACATTCACTGAAGACTTGGCCATCCGGACACTCTGCAATTTACACCATACATAATATTCATTTACTCATCATTAGATATTTCTTCATGTAAATCAATGATTCTGCTCACTTAAACGTTGCAAGATTTTTAAAAAAAATTTTTTTACAGCGGTTGTAGTTAGAACATTTGTGAGAAAATGATTTGTATGATATGTATGCCATAAGACGGTGGAAAAGTTCGACTTTCCTATTCGACAGGGCTATGGCCTGACTAAATGAAGCTGCTTTCCGAGAGTCAACATTGTTGCTTGGCAGCAAGATACCAAAATATGGTGGCAGCGCTCTATTTTTATCGTAGACAGGGCTTCAACCTAAGCGCAAAACAGCAAATAGGTGATTTCTTTGGTGAAAAATGGAGTATGAATGCTCAATATACCTTAAAATATTTTGCTTGAATTCCCAACTCGAAATTTTAGTCTAAGCAATTTTGAGTTCACCCAACGTGTATGTGTATTAGGTAAGCTGCACCGTAGAGCACATGACCCAAACATAATGTACGGTAAAAATAATAGTTTATTTCAATCCGGGTGATTTACGAAATTGTCCCACTTTGAGAGATTTTGGAAGTTACGCTGTGTGATATTGATTTCGTTTACCCGTTCCGCAACGGTTGCTGTTGCAGACAGTGTGTTGTTCAAGTGGCCCAGCACAAGCGGCCCCGCCCGGCTCTGATTCCCGAAGGATTGTCCTGTTGCGCTCGGACAACCCACTGCCGCATGTGGCGCTGCACTCGCTCCAGCTCGACCATTCACTCAACAAACATCCCACTGGAGGGGGAAAATATTACAAACAACAGATTGAAATCCAAGAGAGTCTCCAACGCATTGCATAATTAGTTGACATGAAAGGATGATGAAGACCAGGGCACGGGCGCAAGTCGCAGCTTTCTGTCTGGATGGTTTCAGAACAGGAGGGTCCGCCCTCTCTGTCTTGGCACAGGCGCGTTCGTGTCCATTGGCCACGCCCACACGAAACGGAGCAGGACGTCCATGGGGTCCAAGGCTCATACACAGGACAGGGACGATCGGTGCACGCGAGAGTTCCATTCTCACACACGCTGGTGAACAAAAAGGAACTTGAGAGTTGGGCGCCATGAACTAAAAGGAGCATTTGTGTCCACATTTCAGTCACAAAGCGCTTGACTGTGTTTTACTCACCAGGTGTTGCATTCCACGACAAGCCCTTCGTTAGGCATGAACTCCAATGTCCCATTGCCCGATGGGATACCGCAGCGACATTCTGCCACGGGCACACAATGGCTGTCCTGCAATAGCTGTCCCTCTGGGCAACGACAACCTGGGAAGGGAGAGCAGGAAGGAAAGCAAAGCCTGTTGTTGTGTCGAATCAAGAAGTGTCACTCATTTATGTGTTTGACTGTATTTGTACCATTCGAGAACAGGCGGATAAGTGATCGGCAACCGGTGCTCTGTTTTTTTTTTTTCCTTCCTTTCCGATGCGTGTTGTGGAGTGGAGTGTCTTTCATGAAAAATGTATGGAAGTCATCACATACCTGAATGACAGCGTCCTTGGAGACACTGTACATGCTCCCATAAATCAGTGCAGCTGCGAGGACACAGATTGGCACAGGCCTCTTGGTAGACACGCCCCCTGTCTTCACAGTGTTCACCTTCCATACGGAACAAAGTCTTTTAAATATATGCCTGCGTGACACGCTTTTCCTTTTTGTTTGGAAATAGAGAACACACTGCTCCACAATAGCGTTCGTCGGTATACCCGGGCAAAGTCCCGTGTTGCAGCTCTGGCTTTGAGTCTGCTGGATCCGGCAGAGGGGTCCTGGGGGAGAGGCCAGAGGATGCCTGTAGCGCTGCCTGACTCCACCGCTGCACGGTTGGGCACAAACTGTCCAAGCACTCCACGCGCTCCACTGACATAAATCTGAAACATGGAAAACATGACCAGACCGTTATTATCAATGCCAAAATTCCAGTGTTATTTTTTTAAAATTATGACACGAACCACAGGAATGGTTGCTGTTTTTGTAGTCTGGCCATTGTTTGTTGTTTGTGCACGAGGCATACTGAAGCAAATAAGAGATGAGTTTGTGCTCCCAAAATTGAGTTGATTGCCATTTACATAAATCAATTTCGAAAGCTCTTGTTCCAGGCCTCCCTGTCAAATGTTTTACTTTAATTTCCACTCGGGCTTTAGGTGGATGACTGCAAATCCAAACGCATTTCCGTACGTGCTAATCATGAATCTCAATTTCAAAACAATGAGCTATGAGCATATGTTTTCAGATCGCTCCATTTATTCAGATTTGCTGTCTTAACAGCTCAACCTTAAAAGAAGATTCATCATGATCACACAAACAAAAGTCACACATGGCATTTTGAATGATCGATTTCAAGTAGGAGCCCCGTAATCTCACATGGTCAACCTGGGTAAATGAAGCTGTTGTTGAATGTACCTTGGCACATGCTGTCATCCGGACACAGCCTGTCCTCAACTTGTGGATGTGGACACTGATTTTTCTCCTGCTCTCCAGGTACTGGGAAACCAGAGTCAAAGTCTAAACAGGCCCGGAAACGCCTCTGGACTGAAACCATTTTACTTCCGTTGACAGCCCCTTCCAGGAGGATGCTGCTTGGGTTCAGGGAGGAGTAAGGCATGCAGGGAGAGCACGAAGTCCACTCCGACCATTCACTGAGGATGACTGAATTAAAAAAAAAAAAGAACATGAGGTTTTATGCAATGTAAAAACCATCAATGTTATTATTCAAGCAAAAAAAAAAAAAACATGTTACCTTCACACTCTCTCATGTCGCACTCCAACATCCCGTCATGGCAAAGACTGAAGACATGCAGACACAAAAACAGACTCACTCATATCCGTTCACAGCAAATTACTTTTGAAAATAGTGACTTATGGTACACGTGACGATTGCAACATGATGCAGCCCAACAATCCCTCACAGTTCTTTCTGCATTGCAAGCAAAAATGGACTGATTTACAAAACAGTGGGCTCTTAATAGCCATCGCTGACCAGGTACTGCAGCCGATAGCAACTGTAGACCCCTGAGGAACAGTGACCGGCGTGGGCGATTGCCCCGAAGGTCGGTCCTGCAAGTAGATGCAGCCACAATGCTCTGATGGTACACAGCTACCATTCTGCTGCAGCAAGCCCTGCAGGAACAACAAACAGCATTTGTAAAATTAGATTAGGGACTGTGTTACTTTCTTATTTGTCTCGATGCTTCTGTTTTCAGCACCGGAGACTGTATCAATCGAACGATGCTCGTGAAGATAGCAAATTTGAAACAAAACTGAACTAAGCGGCCTTCTCTCTAATTGACTGATGCTTTTCATAGGTGACATTCAATGATTTATATGTTGCATAAAAGGTAAGCCTTAACGGTTAAAGTTATCACCCTAACTCCTGCTGTCACGTTCCACCACTGCAAGGAGCGACTTTCTGTTTCATATTTCATTACCTGCCCCCCTTACTGCTATATGTGCATGTTGTCACTTCACCACAGAGCATTTTGCAATCAATCAAACCTGAAAGCTCACAAACTTAGCTAAATAACATGATGAAAATTGTCATCGCAGCACATATCAAAGTGATAGATTGCCAACCGTGTCAGATTTCACTTGTTAACGTTGCTTTAATGCTGGTGTGGTCCCATAAAGTAGTCACCGTAAACACCATGGACTTTTAAAATACATGATTTTTAAGCAATTACATTTCAAAAAGGCTTATATTAGGAGTCCTGCGTTTTTTGTTACTGAGATGGAAGACATAATTAAGTATCGTAGTTTCACCAGAATGGAAAAACAGGAATAACACTGTATGAAATCAGTCTTCATCAGCCTTGCTAGATGCAGTTGCAAAGATTCTGCTTGAAATCTATTTTAGGTTGGGCTTGTTGCGCTGGTGTTTGGAGTCAGAAGAAACCTCTGCATCGAAATTACCGGTGGACAATAGCAGCCGGGTGTACACTCTCTGACCCCCAGACACAGGTCTGTACGGCCATGGAGCTCGCAGTGCTTCTCACAGGGTGTGCCACACGGGGAATACACAAACGGCGCTTCACATTCTGAAAAAGCATGAAAAGATGAGTGTCAACATGGAAGTATAAAATCAAACAACTATATTTACCCTGAAACAAATTGTTGGCAAAATGCAATTAAGTTAGTTGTATATACTTTTTACACTACTAGTGCGACTATCAATATTGAATACATGCTCAAAAGATACATGCCATCTTAAGAAAACACTTCAATGAATTATGACTGTATATAGTACAGTACACATTGTACCGTGTACTTTGAAAGCTCACCATCACAGTGGCTGAGGCTGCATGGTTTGCTCTGTGTTTCAACAGGGGTGCACTGCTGCCCCCTGGTGGCCGGGGTGACAGCTACACGGTAGCGCTGCTGCCTCTGAGACTCACATGAGCACGGAGACCAAACGCTCCAGGCTGACATGGGGCATTCTGCAAAAGGAAGCAAAAGCTTTGACTTTGACTCATCTATTAACAACAACTTGCACTGTACTTCCAACTAATATTACGTCATGCTGCAGAGTGGAACATGCGGTTTGCACTCCTGCCTGACAGTTAGTTCTGAGGTTTAGTTTTCCTGTTCGTTTTATTTTTTTAACCAGAGTGGTCATCAAATAATATTAAAAAAATAGATCAGATTTCAATAAAACCGTGATGCCGAATTGATGAGTAAATGTTGCTACAAAGACGCTACATGTCAACATGAGCACCTGGACATGGCTGTTTGAAACATAGCTGATTCTCTTCTTGCTTCATCTCGGCTTCAATCTCAGCAGGACACGCTGCAGTTCCTCCCTTTCCGCAGACGCACACCCGACGCCGCACCACAGTCCCCGCCCCGCAACTGCGGGAACATGGTGACCACGGCGACCAGGGGCAAAGGTCATCTGAGAATGGTAAGCAAGGGATCAAGAACCGTAATTACACTCAAATAGCACATTTGAGGGAACTACAGACCCAGACAGGGAGCAGCGTGACATTCTTGGTTCTGTCTCTCCGGACCATCACAGTGTGAGCCATTGTTACGAGGTGGCGGGTTGATACAGGCTCGGGTTTGAACTTGTGTTCCTTGTCCACAGGTCTCTGAGCAGTCAGACCACACTGACCACGGAGTCCAGCCACCGTCCACTGGAATTAACAAAGAAATGACATGAACAACTGTCCAACTGTTGAGAAGATGTGTCCCTGCAAATCACACACTTCAATTAACAGACTGATTATAAGTTATGTTTCTTCAAATTTAACCAAACGGGCATAAGATAAATAGGCCCGCCCAAATAGCTTAACTGTACTGAATATTATTCAAGTAAATATGACCTACCTCTACAATCGATGTCTTGGCAGTAATCTCCCTCTGGAGTGCATGTGCTAGAATGTAAATAGCGGATGTTCAACTTTCTTGCTCATGTTCAATAAATGTAATGTTTTTGTTTTTTTTAGACATATCTCTCTCTCTCTCTCTCTCTCACCATTGTTTACACGAACCCAAAAGCCAGGTGTCTCCCACATGTAGCTCCTGGTCATCATGGAAACAAAGAGGAGGGCAGGGCCCTGGCTCACAGGGTTTATGATTGACTTCCTCAAATTGACAATCTGTTCCCTCGGTTTCTGAGATGAGAGATCTGAGACACAGCATTTCAATCATGCGTTACGGTCACACAGACACGAAACAAACAAAATAAGTTGTGTCGATGAGAAATGGGGCGAGAAGTTAAAAAATGGTCTCGAGTGTCAATATTTTAGTGAATGTCTAATTGGTTCTGATTTGGACATTGTCACTTTGGAATGTGCGCAAATGTACAATCGTGAGCAAAGGTTTTGTGGGATGGAACCTCATTTATAGCTTCCTGGTATATCACTATGACCTTAACCTAGATATAATGATTTAGTTGACTGCAGTGTACCTGTATCGGGTTCTCCGTCCGTGACCACAAGTAACGCTACATGATGCCCAATTGGACCAAGAGCTCCAAGTGCATGTGGCCTGGCAGCTGTGATTGGTGCAGACCAACTGCCCATTGGTGCAGCTGCAGTTGTTGCAGTCGATCTGATGCCCGCTGCCAGCAGCCCAAATTTGGCCCTGCGAGTCCACGCAGTCACACTGCCACAGATGCACACACGCTCCATCCTGCTGCAACTGTCCTGGATGCACAGTGAGTGATCGACGTTGACCAATTTGGATGAAAGTGGACGATCTATCGGGGAACGCCCCTGTAGTCGTACCAATTGGAATTTGACCAACAAAACAAGCATTTCTAGCACGCGAAAGTGCTTGGATAAAATGCTGCTTCCGAGAGTGAAACGACATCATGCACAAGCTTAAAAAAATAAAATCATTTCAGAACCTTTAGGGCAGCGACATCCGGGTTGACATTCAGTGTTGGTCTGGCACTCAATGCCTTGCTGGAGGTCAGCGCAGCGCTGCGGACACTCGTTGGCACAAGACACGACCTCCTGTCCCGGCGGGCATCCTTGTTCATCTGACAAAGACAAAAACAGAAGGTCGAGAATGTTGCCAAAATGCTCCAAGCATTTTCAATTCACATAATGTGCCCCAAAGACATTTCAGAAAAAAAAAAGAACGTACTGGAGGAATGCACCCAATTTCTCGACAATAATGAGCTTGTTCTCAGATAACGCGTCGTGACATATGCAAGGTCTGTGTGTATTTATGAATATTTTGTTCATCTCACTCACCGCAGGGTTTAGTGTTGCATGGTTTGACCTGGTTTTTCTCTCCTTGGCACTTCTTTCCTCCGTTCTTGGGTGGAGGGCTGGAGCAGGAGCGGGTGCGTATGGAGCGGCCGCCCCCGCAGAGTTTATCGCAGCGGGACCACGGACTCCAACGGGACCAGCTCGCATCCACTGTAGATATGAACAATACACACAGACATGCTGTGAATGTTGCTTCATTAAATGCTTTCTTTTCTAATGACTTTCATCAATTTTCTCTGGAGCCAGAATCTTTTGCGGGCCGAAATTTGTGGCGAGGATCTGAATAAAGGCGCACCTAGAAATGAGTTGCCATCGCCGTCATGGTGGCTTCAAAAGAGCCATCTACCCTGCAGAGCATTGAGAAAGAATATTGAATGTCGGACTGTTGACTGTCTCACCACGGCAGGGCCTTATGTTACAAAAGCGGCGCTCTATATTTCCTCCCAAGATGTCGTCACACCAGAAGCCATTGGGCCCAGGGCCCAGGAAGGTTCGGATCCTCTGCTGCTGGCCCACGCCGCAGGAACGGGAACAGGAACCCCACGTCCCCCAATCCGTCCAGGTACAGTTCCTCTCCTCGCAATCGTCCCCAATGCAGAGCTCCTCACCGTCTGAGTCTGGGACAGAGGGAAAATGAATACTGTAGTTTTTTGTTTTTTTTCTCGCTCCAAGTTGGTCACAGGATCCATGTATGTCGTATCCATCCATTCTCAACATTGCTTATCCTGAACAGGGTCGCGGGGAGTTGCTGGAACCTATCTCAGCTGACTCTGGATGAAAGGGAGGCTACACCCTGAACTGGTCGCCAGTCAGTCGCAGGGCATATATAGAGACCAATGACCATTCACACCCAGTGGGAAGCGATCCCACGCTGCCCGCACACCAGTCCGGCGAGTGTACCACTACACCATCAGCGACTTTGTTGGATCAATGTTCACCAAACGCCATTGTTGGACCATCAAACCATGCAGCTTGATGAGCCAAATGCAAAACAACAAGAGGATGTGTTGTCTGAAATGAAAAAGTACATACCTGGGCACTGGGGGAGGTTGCAAGCTTTGTCTTGATGGGAGGCCCCAAAGCACGGGGGTTTCATGCACTGACGATAACGGGACTTCATAGCTGGAGAGCGAGCATCACTGCATGTTTTAGTACATGGACTCCATGTTGACCAGCCAGTGAAACCAGCATCCTCATCTATGGAATAAAGAAGTTGGGGTGTGTGTCTGAAGGAAGCATGTGAAATGTGTCAATCATATTTCCATTTACCTGGCAGGGTGGGTTCTTCTGTGGGACCAACAACTGTCAACAACATTAATCCAGCCATCAACACAAACAAAAAAAAATTCACTGGCAAATTATTGTGTTTTAAAGAAAAATGTCTGTTTACAACCTCTTACCTGGGCAGTCAGGGGCCTGACAGTAGGTGCTTTCAATGTATGGCCCGATGCAACCTTTCCCTCCATGTGCTGGAGCAGGTTGGGTGCAGCCTCTGGTGCGGGTTTTCAACCCAAGACCGCCACAGGACAGCGAGCATGAGCTCCAGGAGCCCCAAGGTGACAGACCGCCGTCAACAGGACAGTGCTCCAACGAACAGTTCCATTTGCCGTGCTCACAGACACTACAAAAGGAGAGGGGTGATTTTTTTTTTGTTTGTTTTTTTTAATGTTGGCATTTTGAGGTGAAACAGAACACACAGCCAGGTAAGGGGGTGCAACCCAAATTGTCGACTCACCATGAGCTGCAGTCATGAATCAGTGTGTCTCCAGGCTGGAGCTCTACACCTTCTGAGATGTTATGAAGGAGCAGAGTTGAGACTGGTGTGATGGAGACACTCTGGAGCGATGCTAGAAACTCCTCATCGACTAAACAGGGACACTCCTGAGATCACAACATGCATTTTAGCATACTCGAAGCAAAATACTCCGGCACATGCTTTTGGGAATAGGAAAGGAACCCACATGCCGGCAGACGCCGTTATGTTGGAAAGTGTGCAGGGGGCAGTGACAGCCTTCCTCACAGCCATCGGTGTAGCAGCCCTCCCTGCCGCTGACCTGGTCACAGCTAAAAGGGCAGCCCTCCCCTCGCTCACACTCCCTGTACAGCCTGCCTGGGGGGCAGCCCGCTTCTGCTCAACAAAAACGTTTGCACAGCTTTGTAAAATCAGATCAAAGGGCAGGGATGCTTCCCAAAATGACTTAGCAATCAACATTTTCAAAAATATTCACCCATTAATTTTATATCGCCCATCCTATTCCGAGTCACAGTTGAATTTGAGAGAAACAACCATGAAGACATGACACATAACATTAGCCCAGATAATATTTAACCCTCTGGGTTCCGTTCTGGCCTTTTGTGTCCATTTTGGAACAATTTTGACGCATATGTAAAAGTTCCCAACCATCCCAATCAAGTGTCCAGTGATTCAACGTTGCGTGGACTTACCAAGGCAGACCTCCGTATTGCAAGTCTTGCTCTGGCGGCTGATGCCACTGCAGCCCGATGAGCCGCACATTCGGAATCGAGACTGCTGGCCGCCACCGCAACTGACAGAGCATACCGACCATTGAGACCAGGGTCGCCAAGGGCCCACCGTGTCTAGGGTCAAGACAAAATGATACATTCTCATCAGTGTTTCTGAAAGAAGCAGCATACATTTCTGTGAATCAGTAAACTGCATGGGCAGGAATCCGGTTTCAAGAAAGTAACAAGCTGACATCATATTTAATTTTACAAAGTGGGTGAAAAGCGAAAACCATCTGCTGCACAAGCTGCAGGCACGAATACCTGTGCACAAATGTGTGTTGCAGTCTCTCTGCTGTTCACCAATTCCCAGGCAACCTCTCCCTCCACTCTGAGGAGATGGATTATCACACTGGCGTCTCCTGAAGTGAACTCCTCCTCCGCAGGAAACTGAACACGAAGACCAAATTGCCCATTGGCCCCAGCCGCCGTCCACATAGCAGCCGGGGAGTGGGTGACAGTGCAAAACCCCAGCTTGGCAGGAACTGAGGTGAAAAATGACAAAACCTAAATCCATTCATTGACTGTAACACTCTTAAAAACTCCACACTGGAGGGCATGAATCTTAGAACTGACAGGTCAACGTGCTCACCACTACACGAGAAATGTATGTAAAATGATCCAAACCAATTTTTGCAGTCCATGATGATTTCTTCTCCTTGACTTGCAAACTGCCACTCAGTCTCGCCGGGTCTGGAATCTAAACGACCTCAGTGGAGAAAAAAAAGTGAGGAATTTTGCTAAAGTTACACTTAAAACACTTCAATTTTCAGAATTTTTTATAAAGGACCTCTCACCGGCAGCAGAGATGTTTTCGTATTTGCAGCGACACTCCTCTCTGGTTACACACACGCCGTCCTGCAGGACCATGTCACCGGGGCAACCGCAGGTCTTGCTGCATCCTGGCGAGTCCAGGCACTCCGTGTCGCCATGGAGATCAGAACAGGAGCGAGGGCAGGGTTTGCCACAGGGCCATTCTTCCTGGCCTCCACCGCATTCTGCAAAAGGAAATACGGCATCCTATAAACTTCATCATTGAGTTTATGACACTCATTTCTGGGAATAACTGCAAACTGGACCATGATGAAAAAATGTGTTTGAGGTTGTCAGCCTTCAAGAAATCTTATCATTCAGATGCTTTGAAGAAATAAAAACCCGACCTGAGCACACAGTCATGTTGTCATGGCAACCACGACTCTGCATGCTCTCTCCGAGGCAGGGCAGACCACCAAATCGAGCAGGAGGGCTGTTACAGTCTCTGGTGCGATTGGAGAACCCGTCACACCCGTCGCACGCTGACCATGCTGACCAGGAACTCCAAGAACCGTGCACTATATCATAACGGCATTGAGAACAAGGAAGAAGCACAACGGGTTTAAAATGAGTTAGCAGACAGGATATTCCACCCTAGTAAACAAAAGAGCCAATCCTGCCTGGACAGAAGGTGATGACGGGACAGGGCTGTCTCTGGATTTGCGCGCCAACGCCATTGTGTATTTCCTGTTCTCCGGGACAAGGCTGCCCGCCAGCTTTAGGTTCCGGACAGCCACAGCTTCTGTAACGGGATACTGACTCTGCCCCGCAGGTCCTGGAGCATGGAGTCCACGTGGACCAGTCACACCAGCTGCCTGATACTGGAAACACAGAGAAACGCTGATGAATCTACAGCCAGCTCAAGTTGCTGAAGACACAGAGATCGGTACAAAGGCGATTTGCGTCCGACTCACCTGGGCAAGGGTTTTGCGAGCAGTTAAGCTTCCCTCCTTCACAAGTGCTGGAAAAAAAAAATGGAGAGCCAACATTCATTATGAAGGACTTCATTTTGTTCATCACCGCACGTGCGTGAATGCCGCCAACCAGTTGTTACAGCCATCAGGAGCCGCAATCACGTTTCCGGGCTCGAGCCGGCGTCCAGTTGTAAGGTCAAGGCAGGGGCATTCTTCGTGCTCCAAACAGACCGTTCCATTCGCTGACAAAACCTTTCCCTCGGTACAGTAGCACCCTGGCTCACAAAGCCACTCGCAATGCTGTTTAAGGGGAAAAACGCACCTCTAATAATATCCAAAATGTTTTCTGAGCCGGGAAAACAATAAGATGTGTTGACTGGAGGCCAACGATTCAGCAGATTTAGAGTGTTACATACAGCCAGGTCATCACAGGAGCGCGGGCAGGATGGTCCACAACTACTGAATGCCGTGCCTGGGACCTTGGAGCATGGCGCCACTGAAATCCCACCATGTTTGTTCCAATAGTGTTGTCATACAAATGTTATTTAAAAACGCATGACGATAAAACACACGCTGACCTGGACAGTGGGCAGTGTTACAGGCTTTGAGCTCAGATCCAAGCCCCTCACAGTAATTTCCTTCTCCTTCAGGGGTGGGACTGTCACAGTATCTCCTTCGGCTCTGAACGCCCCCGCCACATGACTTCGTACACTGCGTCCAGTTACTCCAAGAACCCCAACCGCCGTCACCTTGAAGGAGCCAAACGCATCACAATGACATTTTGGTGATAACTCTTTCTTGTACACTCCTCACAAAGTCATTGATAGTCAGTTATCAAAAGAGCGGATCATTCATGGCAGCACTGACTCACGATCACACGGTGCGGTGACACAGACTTTGTCCTCACGGTTTGGCCCCAGACATGGCAGGCCATTGCCGGAGCGCTGAGGGCTAGAGCAGAACCGATATCGGGACAGGAGACCTGCCCCGCACGACACTGAACAGTGACCCCAAGGGGTCCACAGTGACCACTGGCCATCAGCTAGGTTAAAAAAAAAAAGATTCAACAACGACAGGAGGATCAATCAATACACTACAAATAACTTGAAATAATGGAATTATCGTAATAATAATAATGGGATAATGTACGCAGAAATAAAAAAAAATTTACCATTGCATCTGGCTTGGGAACAGTTTACAAGTCTTCCTGCTTCACACGTACTGAAATATGGGCATACGAGTTAAAGTCAGAAACGCATGCAGGAAATGTTTGCATTTACTTGCCAGTTTTTGCAGCCAGAAAAAATAATGTCTCCTGGTTTGTGCTGCTCTCCATCAACGTCGCACCGACAATCAGACTCCTGGATGCATTCGCCATCCTGGGTACCGGCATTCAAATGCATTTACAAAGATAACGTACTTGGCATTGTTTTTATTTCCGAACAGCCGAGACACTGACCTGCTGGAAAGTTCCAGTAGGACACCGGCAGCCTGGCGTGCAGTTCCGACTGAGTTCCATCGTCAGGTCTGAACATGACACTGCTCCTGTCACACACTGTTTCCATTCCTGCCCCGGCGGACACACTTTGCTATCCCCTGAAACAGGAATGAGTACAAGGGAACAAATGAATAACCACTTTGCATCACTGAAACGAAGTGCAGAAAGTGCACCAATTGAATGAATGCTGACAAAATGTCACCTACTGGTGGATAGAAAAAGTCTACACATCCCTGTTGAAATACACTTTGACGAAAGCCTCATTTCGAGGTGCAAGTGTGTGTGTGTGTGTGTGTGTGTGTGTGTGTGTGTGTGTGTGTGTGTGTGTGTGTGTGTGTGTGTGTGTGTCATACCACATGGCTGCAGATTACAGGCACTGAACTGTTGTGCTGTGCCGTGGATTCTGATAGGCCCACTGGTTCTGGTCCTGTAACCTCCTCCACATGTCACTGAGCATTCTGACCACTCACTCCATGGTTCTCTGACACCTAGTACATATCGTATCATCAAGCCATCACTTACATGACTTGGCAAGGGCTGGATTCTCACTTACAAGCACACGCATGAAACAAAAAGCGACATTATGTGCAAAATATTTCTTCACCAAAACATGGCTCAATGCTGCATGTGTCCACCCCAACTCTGGAGCCTTCACAGGGACGACCCCCGAACTCTGGTGGGGGATTGGTTCCCGAGCGGTAACGCCTTCTCACGCCGACATCACATGTTCGACTGCAGGAGCTCCACTGAGTCCAGCTGCTCCAACCGCAGTCCACTACGAGGCACAGTCACTCAGGACAATGACCAATTACATTACAGAATAGGACAGAGAATGGCCTTATGGAAAGTTGTGTAAGCATGTATTTAATATTATTGATAGTCCTTCAAATTTTGAGGTTCTTTTTCTCGGGCCAAGTCACATTTGTTCGGCCACGTCTTGTACATTCAACAATAAAGCCACTCACCAGGACATGACGTCGTTCCACATGACATTTCTCCATTGGTGCATGTGCTGTTGAAGACAAACAATCCAGGCCAATCAGTCAACTGAATCAATGTCAGATTTTGATGATGATGCGGCAGCGTTTGACGAATACCAGTTGTTGCAGGCATCTATGGGAAGGGTTGCCCCAGCCGGGTATTGCTCCCCCCGATGGTAACACGGGCATTGGGACAAAGGCACGCAGCTGCCATTGAGCAAGTACAAGCCCAGTGCGCAGTAGCAGCCATCGTAACAGGCAGTGGCACACTGCACCTCGGCGGAGGTCATGTCCATACAGACTCGTGGGCATGGGCCTCCGTGATCCTCACATTCACCTGCGGTCATGTACATCATACCTTCTGGGCAAAGACCTGCACGCAAAAGAGAGGACATGATGCCTGCGTAAGACCACCATACACCACAGCATGGTCCTATTGAGGACTTGGAACAAGGTAACATCATACCTGAGCAAGGGTGGGCATTACAGTCTGCTGTCTGAATGTGCGGGCCGGGACAGCTTCTGCCCCCATGTTGCGGTGGGGGCGAAGTGCAGAATCGCTCTCGTGTTTGGACGCCAGAATTACACTCCGATGAGCAGAGAGACCACGCAGACCACGCAGACCAGCCACCATCCACTAGAATTTCAACACAATGAGCTTTTCATCGGTTGACTCTCGTGAGAAACGAACGCTCATACCTGCACAGTGTACGATGTTGCACGGCTCCTGCTCTGCGTTGTCTCCACCACAGATCGACTGAGCGTCAGAGTGGTTGCAGCTTCGGAATCGTTGCCTGATTCCTACATCGTCTGCGTGATGGAAACATGTCTTACTGCATTCGGACCAGCTGGTCCATTTACTCCAATTTCCAACGTGTTCGTCTGAAAAAACAAAGATTTATAGAGTATATGAATTCAAGTTTTTGATGCATTGGGAAATGATTGATCCGAACAAAAAGGCTGGATTCAACAAAAGGCACTCGCGCCCTTTAAGTCAAGTGTGAATGTGGGCGAATGACGAAAGTGTACCAGTGTCGCAGGGGATGGAGCAGCGCTGGACTTCAGCGGAGTCTCCTGGGCAGAGATGTCCTCTGAGGGATCCTGTCTGATTCACTGGAGACCTACCACAACAAGTATGTTGTAAACCTCAACTTGAAAACCTCCAAATGCATCAAAGTCAACAGGCAATAATCTCTGACAACTCTTCACCTGAAGCGCTGTTGGAGCCCAAGCCCACAGGTGACATCGCACGGTGACCATGACGACCAGGCTGACCACTGACAGGTTGTAGCGCAAGTGGAGGAGTTACAGATGACTTGCCCATCCTGGCACATACTTTTGGAGACAAATATACACTTGTGCACAATTCACTGGTGTCAAATATGCCACACAATGTGTCAAATAGTCTGAAGCAGCTATGAAACAACAAACATTCAGACGTGTTTCGGAGCAAAAATCTGGGAGTGATTGAGGCCACCCTCAAAGAGGGTTAGAATGGCTTTTGAAACCACAACATGGCAGCAAAGTACGTTTTTTTTTTCGATTAGACAAGGCTATGGCCTGACCAAATTAAACTCCTTCCTTATGTCGATATAATTCCCTGGCAGCAAGATGGCGCTAAGGCAATATTTTTATCGCAGACGTCAAACCAGCAAATACAGCACGTATTTTTTTCAGCAAATAATGGGGGATGGTTTAAGAAAACAAAGCAGCTAATTCTTAATTAGACAAAGCCAGCCTGTAATTCACTTTAAATGACCATATATCAGGCCTAACATCATTGTAAAGAGAATTACATTCACCAGCTGAAAAAAAAACTGCACAATCTAATGAGTCTAGTGAAGATCTCTCACAGAAAAAAAAATCATTTTCAGTGGTGTCAAAAGTGTTTTAAATCTTAAATTTATCAGACACCTCTCTGTATGATGCTTTGAATGCAAAATACAACTACAAGAGTCAACATTTTTATGTTTTATTTTTACAATCATCACATAATCTTTGTGAACCAAATGTACTGAAACATTTATTTGTGAGGTGATGACTGTTTTTAACAATGCTTCAGTTATGAAGACCAGGAATAGCTTAAACAAAAGTGCAAGATGAACAAAAAAAAAAGAACTAAATCTCACCATGTAGTGCAATGGTCCCTGCTGATTGTTTGTCCTGGCTGCAGGTTTTGGCCGTTCCAGTGACAGACACATTGGCTTGCACTCACACACTGTCCTCCCTGTAGGTACATTCCATTGGGACAGCGGCAGCCTGGGAGGGGGGTGGGGGT